AAACGCAGTGTCTAGAGTGCCGTTCGAAGGCACACTCTAAGAAAATTTGAGCACCCCCGCTCGTCATCGTGCGTTTTGACGGCTGTAACTACCCCACAGGCTTACTTAACAACCCACTGGGTTCGAGCCATTGAGAGTTAGCACCCTGTTGGCAGGTGACAAGCATGGGGTAGTCACGTTTTATAAACTCTTGAATTGAACATTCAAGTGCATGCAGTCGTTCAATAGCAAAAGTCACTTCAAAAATCTCAAAAAGTACTTGAAACTTGTTTTTTTTGTGCGTTGGTTATCATTTATTGAAATTTGAACCGGTCGTAACAAGCGTGTGGCTCAGTTCGCCTAAACTGGCAGAAAACAAACAAGTACAAGCAACCTTGGTACGCACCTGCTAAAACCCGAGGCAGATAAAAAGTATCGCGGTTGTCCTTTTTGGTTCCGTCGCGGGTTTTACCATGTACAGCAGTAAACAGCTGGCAGCTGGCGTCGTGCTCGAGGAATTTAACCAAATCTCTAGAAAAACAGAGGAAGCTACGCACAGGCGTGAGTTGACTTGAATGTTCGCCGGACGAGATACTCTCGTCGTCTTTTATTGTGCGGTTCAGTAAAGAGCATGCTCTCAGTAAAGGTGTGATCGGTCAGTTCTGCGTGCAGATTAGTTGCAACTGGCCGCCTCGGTTCCGCCGAACTTGCGCGCCTGTCGTACCCAATTTTTTTGCTTTCAAGTGCAGTGAAGTATGAAGCATTGAACACCACGACTGAGGCCGGACAGGACGAACGTACGCAGATATCTGGGATCATGTCCGTGTATTTCACTATTTCTCTGTCTCGAGGTACATGATTCGCCTTCTCTGGTTCATTTGGCACATTTCATCGATCATACTCGATAAAAAAAATGCTTCAAACAAGGCCGGTTCAGACACTAGCGTTTGACAGCGTTGCGTCGAGAACCGAAAGCCACTCACCGGCACGTCTGTGCTTCGTATCAAGCGTGGAATCCAATTCAAGGAATCATCTTGGCACGCGATATAAGCAGCAGGGATGTCCTGATTTCTTGCTGCCGCAACTGAGTCAGACGCACGCAGTCAAACACTACTGTCTCAACCAGGATATAGATAATTTAGCATACGTATTTCGCGTTCGTTGCAGGTGAAGGCACGGGCCCGAAAGCAGCAATTCTGCACTATCCTCTTGGCGCGAGCGCGAGCGCATAGAACGGATATTTAGCGAAAAGAAGAAAACTAAAAGTTCGGGGAGGACCGGCGGACGGGCTTTGTTAAAATCACCTGCGCGTGCTCAGTGTACTCAACGTGTCCCCAACCGCCGCTAAAGTCAGTCTGGATATGTAAAAAGAGAAAAGAAAATGCATCAGTGTGTTCAGAAAGTTGTGATTGCAGAAATTGATTTCGATAATTATTACAATTAATTAAACAGGCTTCTGTATACTTGAAGTGTAGGCAAGCGAGAAAACGAAACTGTTCAAAATGTGACGTGTAGCAACTATTCAATTTTATTTATAACCTGCAATTCACTTTTGCAATGGCCCTACATTACAGATACGAGCGCTTTCCTAAGGGCAGTAGAGGAAAAAAATATATGCGGCTAAATCTTGAACAGTCTTTTCGTATTTATGCAAAATATGACAGTAGTCACCATTCTAATCGGTCACCTAAAATACAGCAGTATATAAGCTGGTGGTGTCGACTAAACGTGTGTATAGGAATGTAGAGTGTCAATATGTGATGTTGTGTCTTGTGCTGTTTCTGAATGCGTTAATGTATAAAATGCTGTGATGTCTGTATGTCGCGTATGAATGAAGTGTGGCGTGGGATGTGTATTATGCCATTGTCTGGCGAGGCGCTCAGAGCAAGAATAACTGGTTTCTTTTTTTCTTTAGTTTGAGCGCTGTCCGTTAGGTGGCGCGTGTCGCCGCCCAATTCAAGGAGTCGCGCGTTTATGCGTCTACTTATTTGAGTGAAAAACATAAAGGCGTTCCATGGCTCCACGTAGCAGCCACAAAGGGTTCGGTCAGTTCGGTCTGGTTCGGTTCTCGGCCTCTCGTCCAAATGGGATCAGTCCCATAGCCAGTTGAATGGGTATTCCGTGCGGTGAATAGCGCCAAGTGCGTGCACAGATGCGTTGAGGATTACCATGGACTTGAAAGTGGATAACGAATGCTAACAGGTGAGCAGGAGCGTTGAACGATCGGAACCGACGGTTGACAGCGGTGATGCTTCGCCTCGCCGCTGTCAACCGAAAACGCCGGATCACTTGCGGCAAGCACAGCAAGGAGATGCTCTGTTCAATAAAGACATCATTCCATTTGTCGCTCTTTTGTTTCCTTCTTTGAATGTGTTCTGGCCGCGAAGTAAATGCAGCCGGCCTTGCGAAAGCAATCGCGGACAAACCCCCTCGAATGCGCCCCCCCCCCCCCCCCCCCTCACATCGGCGCCGGTGCTTCGAGGCGCGTTTCGGAGTGCTTTGTGCGCACGGAAGGCAGCGAACGGGCGTACGCACCTGAGAATCATAGTTTAGCAAAAAGCAGTCCAGCTCGCTAGGCCTTACTCGTATTGCTCCACTGTCGCTTGCCAGCCGCCATGTTGCTGTGATTACCTGCTGATTGCTTGCCGTGTGACTGCCCATGGGGGTTGTTAGTATAACGAACGGGGGGTAGCGATATCTGTGACGGCTTCTGACTACCCCAAGTGTAGTACCCTACGACAACCCTTTTGTTGAGAGTGGTGCACTCTTGCGGAGAGCTCAAGTGCCGCCTGACGCACTTTGCGCCCGTATTCGAGCGCCGTTCTACGATGCCCCTGTACCGAACAAATGCCGTACTTTAGAAAAGAATGTCTTGGTTTCGACACTTTGTGGCCGAAATTAGTATGCCTACTTTACATGTACTTTTTGTATTAAATTTGTAAATTATGACTACACTCAGATTCCATAAAACGCTCTTCATAACGAATAGTAACCGGTCTCGACAAATATTTAGGTCCCATACGCGGGCCTTAAACAAAGTCGAGTAACTTTTTTTTTGATTGAAAAAAAAAAGGGGGGGGGGGGCTATGTGTAGTGCTGTTACTCGAGACTGTTGTCGCCCGTCACTAGAGAATAACGCAAATTTATTTTAAACCACAATCACAACCTTCGACAGAGTGCACCTTCGTCAAACTTGAGGAGATCGCGCGCCTCCACAGCGCGTGCACAACTCGCCATAAGAAAACATGCTGCTCGCTCCTGCAGCGTTCGTCTCCCACTGGCTTTATGTTAAAACAAACTGTCGGCGAGCTGCTGATGGAGTACATGTGAGAATAAGTGTGACCTGCGCTTAACAATTTCGGACGGCACTTGAAGGAGCGAGTGGAGAGCCGTTAGACGGCACTAGAACGCTCCTCAGGAGTGCCGTCGGACAGCACTCTAAACACAGCCAATAAGAAAACGTTTTCAGTATATAAATATAAGTAATGATAAAAAATACACCAGGACGCTCAAAACAACAATTAATTAGAACGTCGGTTAAAACAAGGAAATGTAAACTCATGTTTGCCGTGTGTACCTTTCTTGATGCCGTTCAAAAACGCGCGTCCATTTCACATGAGCGAATTACTTTTTTGCGAACACCGATATGTGAGCGAATCGACGTTTTAGCGAATAACCGGGGCGCAAGCCTATTGTTCCGTTATAAGAACATGTGGTTATTTCACTGATATAGAAAGTCGGCTGGAGAATCGGGAGTTCTATGCAAAGAGTAGAACAATGCTGTTGCGCAAGCAATTCAGCTTCAATCCTAAGCTCTCATGATTCTCGATCCAATGTAAAAGGACAGCATGAATATTACTTTTCAATATTACAGCAAATCTGGATCAGAAGATCCAGATTTGGATCTTCTGACATTGTTTTTAGGGTGTAAAAAATATATTAAAACAGAAGCAGGGGTTTGGTGTTGTAAAGAAAGGCTTTGGGGAACTGAATAGTGCCAAGGCTCCCTTTGCAATGGACAACCCGTGTGACAGTGTGACTGCGCTCGACATTGCCAAAAAAAAAAACTTTTTTTTAAAGGGGGGGGTTACCGTTCGGCTGACACTCATGTTACCGTTCGGCTGACACTCGTGTTTGATTAGTGAGAACATGAATCCCAGCCGAACACTGACGCAGGTGTTGTGTTTAAGATGATCCCAGCGTTGGACTTCTCCAGGTGACGCGGAAAATTGAGCCCTACGGCTGTGTTGTTCCGGAGATGTTGGATGGACGGTAGCCCTCGCCTGCTTGACTCGGCTCGCCTTCTTGGTCTAGAAGGTCGCCGCCGATCTTCGCTACAGAGGGTTCTGCCACCATTTCCCAGAATTCTATTCGGAGTCGCGTAGGGCGCCACACGTTTTGAAGCAGGCTTCTTAACCTCTACTACCACGCATAAAATTATAGATAATAGGGCGGTGTACAGCGGCTCATGGTTTCATCATTATAATGTGTACAATGGAAGGCCCTCGATGGTTGTGCGCCCGGTTACGTTGCTTTTGTGAGAAAATTGCGAGCGGTCCCTTTTGGTACCGTCTTTTTGTGTAGAGCCATTTTCCTCAAGTTTCCTCCGAGCAAGGCCCTTGCCGAGGTCAGTGTACACCAAAATAAAACGAAAGTAATTAAGTTTCTATGTGAAGCCTTCGTGTGGGGCAGAAAAAACAAAATGGTTTCGCAGCAGGCGCACTGAAACGAGCAATTCAAGGCGCTATATGGCGCAATCGACGTATGTACAGCGGAGTTCATCGCCGACCACTTCCTGGAGAAGGCAAGGTAAGCATATAGTGGAGGGTAGGTGAGGTTGCGGTAAAGGCCTTGGAATCATCTGAAGGGGACGCTCGCCAAAAACAGGAAAGTCAAGTTGCGATAACAAACGAAATATACAAATTGGTATGAAGGAGGAAACTTGTCGCTCTCGGCTTCACACACAGTTTTGCTCTTGCAGAAGCCACGGCGTAACTCGCATTTCCAAAGGTTATTTGATTATGCTAGGAACCATGACGAATGCGTGCCAAGCTCCATGTTTTCCGAATGTTCTTCGAACAGTGACGGCTGTTGTGACAGTGTGCATGGTGTGTCTAGCGAGACCTGCGAAATCCGATGTCCCGATCGTTCACACAGATTCTGGACTCGTGATGGGGACTCGTGCCACTGTCGGCGACAAACGGGTTGACGCGTTTCTAGGAATACCGTATGCTCAACCACCCGTCGGGGATCTCCGTTTTAGAAAGCCCGTGCCAATATCGCCGTGGAAAGGGACATACAATGCCTCAAGTAAGCCCAAACCTTGCTGGCAGCTGAAACTTCGTTTTGTGGAGAATCAAACTATTGACTACTCAAGCGCCTCCGAAGACTGTTTGTACCTGAACGTGTGGAGACCCTCTTGCACGAGCACTATGTCCTGTGAAAAGAAAAAATCCGTCATAGTTTTTATTCACGGAGGAGCTTTTCAATGGGGCGATTCGTCACTTTTTATTTATGATGCTGCCAACTTTGTTGCTTTGTCAGATGTCGTCTACGTTACATTCAATTACCGACTCAGCATACTCGGATTTCTGTCATCGGATACCCCAGAGCTGCCAGGAAACATGGGCCTCTGGGACCAAAACTTGGTACTGAGATGGGTCAAGAGGAACATTGGAAACTTCGGGGGTGACGCGAATGATATTACGATTGACGGTCAAAGCGCCGGAGGCATCTCGGCGGGTCTGCACGCGATTTCTCCGCACAGTCAAGGTCTGTTCAAAAGGGTAATTATGTCAAGTGGTACCTCCCTTTCAATTATTCTTGGAATTTCGTACAGCGGACTCGGAAAATTTACAGGTATTGTTGGAACACTTGGATGCTACGATTATGAAAAGAATATAAAAGATCAGCTTCCAAGTGTGTTGGATTGCCTGAGAAAATTAGATGCAGCTCAGATATTCCACACTCTTGAATCTGTAGACGCAGTTCAACAGATATTTTCCCCGGTGCAAGGAGACGAATTTATTCCCCGCCAAATACTATCGGAAAATACATACAAAAAGCTTCCCTTTAAAGAAATTCTCCTGGGGGCAAACTTGAACGAAGGAACACTTTTTTTCGATAATCTCAGATACACATTTCCTGCGCTGTCAAACATGTTGTCTGGTGACTATCGTTTTGCCGTGACAGTTTCCCTAGGGCCCGTTTTCGATATTTCACTCCCACAAGCGAGACGGATTGTTAACTTTTACTATGGAGACTATGACGTGCAACATGATTCCAAAACTGTCGGAGATATCTTCAGCCAAATATTTGGAGATGCTATTTTTAACTGCCCGACCCAGCTCTTTGCTGACACGGCTTCCAAGCAAGGAATCATCACCTATCGATACGTGTTCGCCCACAGACCGTCATACAGCTTCTGGCCAGGGTGGATGGGGGTAACTCACGGCGACGAAATAATGTCAACCGTTGGATCTCTTCCATTTATACTTGACAAGAGCAGATATACTGAACCACTAAGTGAGTCAAGCAGGAAGTACTTGGGACGCCTGAGCTACACGCCAGATGAAGAAAACTTCATGAAGCAATTGGTCAGCGCATGGGCTGCCTTCGTCAAACATGGGTAAGACCATTTTAATGGCGCTTCCGGCCAGCTGCAAGAACGTATAATTCGCAATTTTCTCGCGTTATGTTATGCTGAAGTCGGGAGAAAAAGTATGCCAATGGCAAAGGCTTCAGAAATCGTCGTGAACTGATTTTCTCGGTTTTGTGTCAAAAGTGCTTTCTAGCGCAAACGTTTTGGCAGTGCCCTAGCCCCCATTGCGCACAAGTTCTGAGCATACTCACTAGGTGAGCACTTTAGACAGGAAAACGCTTTAAAATTTACTATCGGGATAACCGGGTCTTTTTTAACGACATTGTTTAACCATTTCAACGGCACTCCCGAGATAACGCGTCGATCATCTCGCGCACACTCTCTGCCACTCCCAAGGCAGCTTGTGTAAAAATATAAAATGATGCGATGATGCGGGGTTCTTGCGCCATCTGTAGACAGGTGACCTTAACACATAGAACTTGTGGGTTGATGTTTAGGCAACAAGCGGAGCGCATGCTTCTTTACCCGCTCCGGCGATTCATCTTGGCGGCGCAGCCATGGTGTCTCGGCTTGGCAGGAGCGTCCATTTCTTAACGTACCAAACTATTTATGAACTTTCGATAAATTGTTAATCCGGTGAAAGTGATAACAATGAAGCAGCTTATCTAAGGGCTTGTTTACGGGTTGTCGTGGACGCAATCGTTAAGCAGAGGGACCTCTTCCAGCACCAAGTATGATTGCTGCGTTTAGATCGGTGGATCGATCTCCTATACACCTGGGGAAGGACGTTACTGCACGTGAATCCTACGCATTTCTGGCTTTCATAACGCTGATGGCGTATGAAAAACACAGCACTGTTGCTGAGTTACTCGCATAAAATATCCGCTGAACCAATACGGGAAAAATAAAACGCAGCACAAGTAAAAAAACAGTAAAAAAGAAATTAACTGCTGTGAAAGGAACGGCGAGTGTAAATTATATTAGGACATGCCCTCCTACGCTCTCGCTATAGCGCTGAGAAATTGAGGGAGAGTAGGATACGAGAGCGCACGCGGACGTCATAACGTCGAGTATATAGGCTGGTTGGAATGATTAGTCGGCACCTAAAGGCTCGCTTCCATTGCTTCCACTGCACTCGTCAATCGCGTTTGAATGCGAAATCCAAACGGCGGGACGCCGGCGTTCCGCATTCTAAAGCGCTCGATGAGTGTAGTGGAGACAAAGGCAGCTTTAGGTTTAGGTGTACCCACTAATCATTCCAACCAGAACTCTGCATTCTAACGTCCACGCGTGCACCTGTCTCCTTCTCTCCCTCAGTTTCTTGGCACACAGGCTTCACAGTGTATTACGCACATGTAGGGGGAAAAAAAGCAGAGTCCAACACATCGCGCCACTTTGTCATCGGCATCGTTGTGAAATATCCAGGTGCAGGAACCCTGCATTAAAAGAGAAAGGCAAATAGACATGCGCGGTTCCGCAGCCACCATCTTGACGGCCGACTCGAGAAACATGAGATGGCTTTAGTTACAACTGTATTGAAGCTTAAACAAGATAGGTTTCTTGAGGCTCGTAAAATGGCAAGCCCCTTGTAATATAACAACAACAATAAAAGCGGATATCCGGAGCAAAAATACGTATAAGGTACGTCCTTATTCGTGCATCTCCGACAAAATCACATATCTGTCTTTCGGGATTCCAGTTCTTGCAGAAACCACCGTAAAGTTTGCATAGGATGACCACAGTGTTTTAGAGAGTGAATACGACTTTTCGTGGGCCTTCCGAGCTTTAGGGCTGGAACGGATGTGCGAAAAACCAACCGAAGATGGCACAAAGTCTGGAAATGCAAACCATTTTCATTTTATATTTCCAGAAAGAATGTTCTCTGCTCGTATACGGCAAATACAATCTTATTAAAAGGATATTTGCGATTTTTTCTACGATAAATGCCCACGCGTGGTATACGCGTACAAAAATGTAGCGTGGAACCATTTTCTCAGGTTTTGAATTCCGTACGAGTTTGCTCGGTTTGTAGTGCATGGATTTTCGAAACCTTCGCTTTCGAAAATATTCCACTCAACTCGGCAACATATAAATTGTTTTCCTCCACTTGCAGCCAGCATTTTTGTTTTTCGTTTAAATGCCGCAGGCGTTTTTGTTTCCTGGCTTACGCGGGATGTCACCACGTCTGTTTACGCAAAAGTGGCGACCCGGCCGAGCACGAGGATAATACTTTGTATTCAAAGCAGCGATCATCGCCGAAGTTCTAAGGGCGTGACCTCGCGCTAATCAATCCTGCTTACTTTTTTATTGCATCCAGATCTGAATCCCCACACCATACGCAACGAATCAACACGATACTGAGTATAGTACTGATATGCATTTAGTAATAAAAAAGCAGGTGTTATTGAAAGCACGCGTATGGCTATCTTTTCTATACTTATAACACAAGGTCACAGTTCTTTTTTAATGCTTCTCACTTCTCAGCAAGTCAAACGGAAGGTTTTTCTTTTAATGCTAAAGGCGTTTTAAAGGAAGCGAATTTCGGATTTTCCTCTCGTCGATGTCGTTGTCACGTTGCCTCGCCGTCACGTCGCCGTCAGCTTAGCGGTAGCCACACCCTGCCGTCATCGGAAAAATGTTTGGTTCCAATTTCCTGATAAATTTAGAGGCACAGCCCTATGGACAATCTGTGGCTGGTTCCACCAAAAGTTACGTTGGCAAGTGAAGGGTGTCAAGCCACGCCGCCAGGTATCGTGACATTGCGCTTCTTTTTTTTTTTTTCAGTGAGCATAGGGCAAAACTTTCGATGTCGCTAATTTACATCTCATTTACACCCCTCCCCCCCCCCCCACACACACACACACACAAAATGACACTGAATATATCTCGTTGTTGATGTCGAAGAACTTATACAGATATAGCATGTCGTTTTTCTTTTTTCTTTTTTTGTGGGTAGTCGATCTGAAGACATTGCAAGTTTATTTCTTTACATCACATTCTTCTAGATAATAAAAAAATCATCGGTCTCGTAAAAAAAACTAAACTGTAATTACTGAAGCGATGTGGCTCTATGGTGAATTTGTAGTGTGAATGAAAATAGGGAAGGTCACGCTTAAATAAAAACTTGGCATTAAACAGAACTTTTTTTTTCTTTTGCTATTGGTTATCTTGCTGTCGTGTGAAAGGGAAATCATTGGTCGGTGCATTTTATTTGATAACAAAGAAAGCAAGAAAACGTGAACATTTTTTCATTGATTTATCGGCTGCAGATGAATAAAAGGCCTGCCCGACTCTACATTCAATATCTTTGCAAACTGATCGCACTTGCTGTATATTTAAAAATAAAAATATATATCGCAGTATAGTACTGTGGAAGACTTAATCAAATAATTTATATGATTTTAAACTGCAGCGCTTTTGGTGTATTAATGTCATCCGTGCGTCAAACCTTGCAAAACTTCGTTAGTTTCTCATTATTGTTTGTAAAGAAACACAGTGAGGTTTTAATCTTTTATTTTTATTTTTGTAACGAAGAACTTTTGAACGGTTCTTATTAATAGTTTTACTCACGCTGAAATAACTCCATTTTAGGCAACTTTGAACTCTTAAACAATATTTTAAAAAAAATACGAAAACCCACTAAACAGAAATGAGATCGCTCTGATAAATACAGCAAGAACCGTGCACGTAACAGAACGTTTACTGATTTTGCTTTCAGCCTCTAGTCTTACAGTGGTAAAAGAATTGTTAAACCGTTCACGTAGAATTAAGTAGGCGACCATGGGGACTGGGGAAGGTGCAGACGCTATACTTCAATTTTAGAAAGATAAAAAAAAAAAAAAAAAAAAAGCTTTTGTGTAGACTTTACTGTTTCCCCGTGCCGGGGTGCAGACAACCAATTAGGTGTCGAGGTTTCGTTTATTCCAACTAAAAAAAAAAAGTAAAATCAGCATTGAAATTATTACCACTTTCCCATGGTTCGTTCAGGTTTCCCACGCTTCTAAACGGTGAGACCAGTGTACACAACGACAACCACAAAGACAACGCATGTGTGTCTGCACCTTTCTTTAGTTGTTGTCTTTTGTGTGGGCTGTTCTCGCTGTTTGAAAGAGGGCTACAGCTGCACCAACCAGCCCAAGCTTTAGTCTTTGGCTTGTTGAGGTTTTCTTGACTGGTATATTGTTATTTACCAATCTAAAGGTGAGTTCGTGCATTTAAATGATCGCGCATGACAAGGTGTATAACGCGTGACACACTTCGGCCGATTACAAAACTGCCGGGATATCATAGACGCACCCACGTTGATTCAACATTTGACTAAGAAGAAAACGCGTTGATAAGCGTGTGCTTAATCAGGGGTTACGTACACATTTTAATTAGTACGTGTAGCTAATTAACACCTGGTGATGTTCCGTCACAATATCAAATGCGCATCTTTTCAAGAACGCGCATGCGTTGTAGGACAGAGGTTGTGCGGAAAGCCATCGCATCTTGCGAGTGCAACGGCATGTGGCGTATGAATACACATATTTCAACAAACTGCACTTAGCAGGAACTTAAAGCAATGTAATCCATAATGAGGGTGTCAGGATGTAATCTTCAAGCACGTCAACTGCGACCATTTTCAGTTTTCAGCTGACCGCATCAAACCACTGACTAAAATGTAAAGATGGAGCTCATCGCATGCGAAGGCAGAAAAGTTCCGACCTGAAAATGCCATCTTCGCTCACTAACCCAGAGGAGCCCATTTTTCTAGCTCACAATGCTTTTTGCGTGGAAAACAAGAAAACATAGGCACAGAAAAATGATTTGTGCAGCGTTCGGTTGCGTACAAATAATCAGCTGTCAAAAGTGTCTGACCGCCGTATTCTTAAACGCTACTCGACTCGAAACTCGACTCGAAACTCGACTTGAGGGTGGTTTTGCGATTCATAAACAAATCTCCACTCGAAACTCCACTCGACTCCAAAATCTCCACTCGAAACTCCAAAATTTACTCGAGATCTCGAGTCTGCGCCGGAGCTACCTTGAACGGCCACTCGAGTCACTCGAGTGCGTTCAGTGTCATGGCGGCCGACGCATCGTTCGCCGACTTCGTCGACTTCGTGTTGAGAACGGACGAAGTTCTTCATGACGACCGAGACCCCGACCAGGACGTCGATGTGCCGAGACGACGTTGCCGGGACCGGCTCAATCCGCTGGAGCATTTCAACGATTGGGAGTTCCTGGTGCGCTATCGTTTTACAAAATCGACAGTCGTAAGCCTCCTGCAGTGCCTGCCGCTGGAAGCAAACGAGAGCAGTCGCGGCCTGCCACTGTCCCCGATGCTCCAGCTCCTCGTAGCGCTGAGATTTTATGGCGCCGGGACTTTTCAAGTAGTTACGGCCGACCTCGTGAACGTGTCGCAGCCGACGGTGTGCCGCGTAATCGAGCGCGTCTCCCGGGTCCTCGCCGAGACTCTCTTCCCCCGCCTCGTGGATTTCCCGGAGGGCGACTGCGACGAGGTCATGCGGGATTTCTACAACATCGGGAAGTTCCCCAGTGTGACTGGGTGCATCGACTGCACCCACGTCAAAATAAAGGGACCTGGCGGTCCCAATGGGGAAGTCTTCAGGAACAGGAAGGGGTTCTTCTCCCTCAACGTGCAGGTAAGTTCACTTCTGTCTGTGCTGTTAGCAGCAGCGAAGTAAGTTGAAAACAACGGCACGCCAAGACCCGGTGTGGCACGTGAAAGCTCGGCGATATTGTGACTGATATAGACTAGAACTTGTAGAGAGATCTGCACTCTGTGACAGTGCAGAGTGGTGGTGGGCCAGCGAGAGAGGGTTCAAAACCAAGAATTATGTATTGTGTTTGGAAACATACATTTAATTGGGTGCCAAGGTGGCTTTTGTTATTTTATAGCAAACGGTCATGTTTTATAGCATTTTCCCCTTGAATTATACTTTTCGAACAAAATATTAAGGAGATTTTATCCCGTGCTCAAATTCTCTTCTATTATACTGCGTGAAAAACTTAGGAATTAAGCCACATTGAAGCTTACGTGACATAAAACTGCGAGAACTCAAATGCTAGTTAATTTCCAAAGCTTGCAGATGCACTTTGTCAAAAATATACTAATCATAGTAGAAATATCAGCTTGAGCACTTGTGTTCATATCATGGCAACCTGCTCATTCCTGTACTGCTCCTTCCTATCCACAGGCCATCACAGGACCCCAGCTGCAGTTTTTTGACCTTGTTGCTAGATGGCCAGGCTCCGTGCATGACAGCAGGATATTCGATAACAGTCGTGCAAGGGTCCTGTACGAGAATCGGCGCATCCCTGGCCTGCTGCTCGGAGATGCAGGCTATGCCTGCATGTCATTTCTTCTGACGCCCCTGACCAGCCCAGGTGTAGCCAACAGCCCAAAGGGCAGGTATGTACTAATTTGTTGGAAGAAATAATGGCATGAAATTCAGAACAGCTAACAAGAAGTGATGTTGTAGCCACAGTGTTCCTATTGGTTACTATTAGTTCTGCAAATCTTTGTCACAGCTAGATTCATGACCTTTAAGCCTTTGTATGGCAAAAAAAGCTGGCATTATTCACTTCCTGTGGACAAATTTTTGTTTCAAAAGTATGTAGCATACAACATTTTAGTTCTATTTTTATTTTCCTCGAGAACATTTGTTGTTCTTCCTCGTCACAGTTAGTCGGTGTCAATTGTTGCTTTTTGTCACTAGAATTGGACTAGGGCCAAGAACTTGAATTAAGACGGTAATGTAGAAAACACCAGCCAAAACCACTGTATGCAGAACAGTAGCCTCTGGTAAGCAATAGAAAATGCCGAAAATGCAGCTAGCATGGATGGGCCGCACTGTACAGGTTACTGAACCATACTGATGGTTGCAGCAGTGGTGATTTTTACACCTGAAGACCTTTATCTTGCAACGTTGCTTCCATTACCAATGCTGCACCATATAGGTACCAAGCAGCTCACCTAAAAACAAGGAACTCGGTCGAACGGGCATTTGGAGTGTTCAAGCGACGCTTCCCTTGTTTGGACATGCGGCTACAGTACAAGGCGGAACGGTCAGCCCTCATCATCACCGCCTGTGCTGCACTGCACAACCTGGCCCTGCTGCGAAAAGAGCCATGCCCACCTGCTCTACCCTCTCCACCAGTACCCCGACGCCGGAGGCGGCTGCGTCCTCATGTACTGCCATCACCTCCAGACCCTGTCGACACAATCAACGGCTCGCTGAAACGCACAGAGATCATCGCACTGTGTTTCCAATAGGGATATTCAACCAGTAGCACATGTTTATAGTCAATGACAGGTCAAGGATAGTGTACAAGCTGGAGAGGAGGAAGCAGACAGAAGCTTGAGGTGGAGAGGAGAAACCTCCTCTCCACTTAAAGCTTCCATTCTACTTCTCATCTCCAGCTTGTACTCTGTTCTTGACCCGTCACTGACTCGTGCAAATACTCGGACACAAATTCAGTAGTAAGTGCTCGAATAAATTGATTTTCAAATCCAATTCTGCGTATTTGGTCAATCTAACATATTCTGGGAAAGACTTGTGGCCAGCACAGAGCTAACGAAAGACCTACCCTTCCCTTCAATTGTAGTGTGCTGTTTCATTCAACTTCCGAATATGCAAAACACATTAGGTTCTATCGTTTCACTACAATGTAGCGCACATAAAATAAATAAGTAAATCCTCGGAATGCTTTTAAACTGAAAGAACCCAAATTTAATTGTGATTTCCACACCCTTGTAGCTTGCAGCGCAGGGCTGCCAGCTGCTCCACCTTTATCTCTCTCTCCAGCTGGAGCAGCTGGAACTCTGCCCGTCCGCGTCGTCGCTGCTCAAAAAGCTTGTTGCGGAGTATGCGCATTTGCATTAAATGTTGCGCCTCCTTCCACCGATCTTCCCTCTCGAGGATGTCTACACGGGCCTCCTTTTCGGGAGCCATGATCCGCTCCAGTGCTGCGATGCGGTTTCCAGTTCTTCTGGATGCCCCGCTTGGCAGCTCAGCACGGGGGCAGGTGATGCTCCTTGCCGGCGGAGTCACACAAGCAGCTCCAACGCTGCTGTCTTGGAGAGGTGAGGCGGACGGATCAGGAGCATCTGGGCGTGCAAAACACATTGGCACTGTGAGTGCTAGGGGAAGAGGCCCAACAGCCACATGGGCCTTTCGTAGAAATGTTCAAAGCTAGGCGTTGGCAAATTAGTCAAACCTCGTTATATCGAACAGTGCAAGGACCGTGAAATAGTTCGATATAATCAAAATTCGATATACAAAGTCGCACACAAAAAGAGTGTCAAAGTACAGCGCGATTTAATCAGTGAAAGGCTAACGGCAAAAAATTACTATACTTCGTTTCAGCTTCCGTTCGAGCGCAGCCAAAGGCTGACGGACGCTTCGCAACTTCGAGAAGAGCATTTTTACGCATCGCAAAGTAGTCCGCAAAAGTAATTTGTTTTAAACAACTGTTTTGTGCGTAAACGTTGCACAATATTCCAGATGTGTACTGCTGAGAATGATTTGCAACTAAAGGAATTAAATATCTGAAGTTTAAGTTCTTATTAATATATGTAGATACATGTGGTTTGGTGAAAAAACGTACGTCCGCTGGCAACACGGCTGCAGCGCTCAGTTTTGATTTTGTTCCTGTAATTGCCGAATCATGTGCTTCGCTGCTTGTTTGTTGCTTTCCTCACCGAGTCTCTTCAAAATGTCCTTTCGCAAAGGCATGTCTGGGCGTCAGGCGCGAGAGGTCGTGATGAATGTCTACTTTTCAATTCTGCAGGAGACTCCGGCCGCGTCGTACCGCAAATGCTTTGTAAAAAAGAAAAGCGTCCAGGCCACTACAATTCCCTGATACACAGCGAAATCAGGGCACCCCTTTACCTGCCGATCACATTGTACGCCAAGAAGCTGGTAGAAAGGACTGTGGCTCGAGCCCTGGTATATCCAGACAATACAAGGAAACATCAACGGCCGGGTCGTCGGGCATCTTGCAATGTCTACTTACATCTCGAAACTATGCCGAAATGCCGAACAGGTGGAAAGCTCGGACACAGACGCCAGCGGCCAGCATACGTACTGACATCCCCTGCGACTAAATTTCAGAACGTGAAAGGTCACTTTTTAAACCTGTAGCAGACGATTTCGTTGATACACCCGTAGCAGACGAAATACTCGGTGAGCGCGGGCGGCGCGGGCGGCCAGCGGCGCAGCGGAGCGATACCAAGTGCAGGCGAGATCGCATGACCAATTGCCGGCGTGTTGATTGGCTCCGGCCACACGTAGCTTTGGCTGCGTTCGGACGGAAGTTGAAACGAAGTATAGTATTCACGTGAAGCGTTAAGGTGAACTATTTATTCTGACGAAAAAAACTGCCGCAACGTAGATTGCTGCATGGAGCTGACCGCATGCCTTATTACGGCCGGCTCCACTGTCTCCAAGCAGTCCACCAGCGCCAGATCACTACCGTCGATTGCACTGCAGTAGCGGCGTAAAAGTGAGACCGTCTTCCCGACAATGTTGTAACAGGCTTTGAAGCGTTGCAGCCGCCCGCTACTTGCGGCGACGTTTTGTGCTTGGTGGATGAACGCGAAGTCCTTTGCTTTCTGTTGAAGCATCGGCCTGACGCCGGAATGTTCCGAGCCCTTGCGTCCATAAACCACTTGTGAAGTGATCTTTCCACCTTTTCGAAGGCCGGTGTCCTAACACGGCGTGCGCTGGAGTGCTTGCTTTGTTCAGCCTTCGGTTTGATGTCACTTTTCGTCTTCAGCAGCGTGCTCAAAGTGCTTCGCAGTATGTTGTACGCTTCGGCAATGCTGGACTTATTTTCTCCTTTTTCAACGCGGCGGATGATTTCAAGCTTTGTCGCGAACGTCAGCGACGTACGTTTCTTTACGATTGTTGCCATCGCCACATGCGGTTGACGCAACGTCGGAGGAACGAACCCGGAGCCATGAAACTGCACATGCCCGAATGTCGCCGAATCTGGATGGCGTTCCCGGCACCACAGGCATAAAGCTTTATGCGGGCATGCGCTTGAATAAAAGTCGCAAATGCCTGCTGCGCCACCGCTATCCTACGATGTGTTGCGGGAAAGCCCGTGTTCCAAAACTTACTCGATCTAACTCTAGGGTAAAGGTGGTTGTCGAAAACCTACCCGCGTCCAGCGTTTCTCTATTTTTGATGTCGCGTGACATAATCCGCCAGGGTAACTCTTATCCATTCGAGTAGGTTTGGAACGCAGCCTCGGTGTGTCGCGCTCCTGTACGCTATGCGCCGTTTAGTTGCTGCACTCGGAGTAGGAGGAGTAAAAGAGCGCCGACGGTTTGGCGGGATGGCGGATGGCTGCGACTGCTGCTGGCGGCAGCTGCCACGACTCACTCGCTGTCGCGGAAGCGCAACGAGAAGGCACGTGATCTGTACCGAGTCTTCCCAAAATTCTGTGCCGTCGTGGCGCTGTACGCTTTGCAACAGGTCTATTAACCACTAGTTTTGGTTTCAATTCACAGTACTATCAGTACTATGTCACGACCCACTGCTCGCATTTTCAATTTTGGAACTTCGAAGATATGTACAATAGTGTAGACGTTGCCGAGCAATAAAAGAAAAAGGCTTCGGTGCCTTTTTTTCTGTTCCAGATTTGCTGTTAAAATGATACAAGTCGCAAATACAAGTAGACATGTTACGGCTCACGGTACCCATCCCCGACATGCTGGTGCAAATTTGTCCCAATCCAAAAGCCCCCAGTTACCTGGCACGTCGTTCCAGCAGGCGTGATTGTCATTGCCTTCAGTGCCTCGCACCATTGCAGCAGCCGGAGGCAGCGACAGCACTGGCCGGTCTCTTGCCCTGTCGCTGTCGCAGAGATTTGTGACCACTGTCCCTATGTGGTCTGCCGCCGCTCCCACAAGAATGAGTGAGGGGCTCATCGGCCGGCTTGTTCGTGGCCCACCTCCTGTGACAGAAACCAAAGAATTTGAAGCTCAGATTGGAGAGAGTGAACAATGTATGGGACGAACAATTCAAAGAGCACACTGAATTTTCGAAACGCCTCCGTGCGAGATAAAAACAATTGTTAAGGGGACTAAAGCGAACCTAACGAAGAGAAAATCTAGCACAACCCAGTGGAGGCCCACCTGGAACCTTCTTATGGGCAATTGAATGCTGGGCACTTTGTTAGAATAGGCTTCCGGCAAGATGCGGGGACCTCATTTGTTTTCAGTGACGATTGTAAAAAAAAAAAAATGTCAATAACGCCAAATGTTCTACAAAAAAATATGTCAAGAAAAAAGCAAAGAAGTAGGCCCACTTTGGATCGAACCTGGATCGGCTGCATGCGTATGAAGCGAACTTTGCAACGCTACAGCTTTGAACAACTCGTTTTGAAAATTCGTTTTATACGAGACCCGGAAAGGAGCACGACGTCGTGCACATAGCATTGTTCTGGTCGAAAGGACTTCTCTCCGATGTTTACTTTTTACACATCGGGAACGGTTTACCAAATATGCAAATTGTCGACTTACCCGTGGCGTGGATGTCTCTCGTCTCGTCGGACTTGGTTGTTTTGTATCTGGATTTTTCGTTCTCCCAACGCTTCTTGAGTTGCTTAGCGCTTCGTGGGCGGACGTTTGGCTGGCTGTTATACTCGGTGCTGAGTTTCTCCCAAGCTTTAAGTTTAGCCTCCTTCGAGTAGTTATTTGTCTTCTTGTTTTCAAGAACTCGTGCATGTTTCGTTACGAGCGCTTGGAGGAGCGCCTTCTCCTCCGCAGTATAAATAAAACGAGCCCCTGCCCGCTCTTCGGTATCGGCCATTTCCGAGTCGTTGCCGTTGGGGTCCTCCATGATTTGTCGTGCGAGGCGGCGAGGCGGCGAGGCGGCGAGGCGACGAAGCAGGGCTGCACGGTAGACAAAGGGCGGCGAAAGCAAGAAAAAACGAGACGAAATCGACAAACCGTGAGATAGACGACTGTCGACGAGAGAACGACAAGACGCAGCCGACGCAGCTAGCGAATGCGCTTGTTGCCAGACAAGGTAACGACTTTGTCCGTTTTGCCGCTCAAACACGTCTAAACTTTACGCTGCCTTAATAAAACTTCGTAGTTCACTATTTTGATGTTTGTATGGTACATGTTTTTAGATAACACGAACGAATATATTTACTTTTCACGTAAAAATGGTGTTTTAAATAAAACCTTTGGCTATAATCTCGCTCCCAGACGTCCTCAAGCTTGTTGGAGTGGAGAACAGAATCTCGAGTTCGAGTGAGTGCCGATTCGCGTCTGTGAATACCAATGGCACTTCGAGTGGAGTCGCGCGTCCATACTCCACTCAAGTCGAGTCGAGTTTGGAGTCGAGTAGGGGAATGTTTATGAATACGGCGGTAAATCTCACCGTTTTCTCGCCGCATTATCTACAGGAAACCAGTGATACCTGTGCCTGGCGTAGACTGGCCGCTGTATACGTCTGACAACCCGAAGTTACTCTACCTGCAGCCCAACAACTACACGGTCGCACCTGACCCGCATCGGGAAGCTTGCAAATTGTGGAAGCCACTTCTCTACAGGAAGTAGGTATAACAGATGAAGTCATTATTTTTAGGAAAAGTCCCTAGAACATCTTCTGATGTGACATCTTCCTGTCAGAAGTGGGTATATCAATGCGATTCATAGTCGAAATCTAAAATGCAAAGATGGAATTCACACAACAGTAAAAGGGTATAGAAACGGACGGACGGACGGACCGACAGACCGACGGACGGACATACGTGCATGCATACATACAGAACGACATAGACACATACACAGACAGATATATATATATATATACAGACAGACCGAGCACTTTGACATCCGCTTGTTATCAAAACGTCATAAGTGTTTTTAGCGGAACGAAAGTGGGCAAAGATAGTCATCACCAGATTGTAACTTACAAGCAAAAAAAAATATATATACAGGGTGTCAATCTTGAATGCTATTCTGTCGGACAACATTGGTATCAATAAACTAGCGTGTGGATTGCATTATAACTTTCACAAACGTTTACTTTATGTGCTGTCTTTATTATAATCATATTTTATGAGTGTACGTGTAAGAAACAAAATAAGCCTAAAAGAATTTTTTTTGTTTTTATAGATGGGAAGGAAACGGCAAAAAACCTTCTAATTGACTCTGCTACTCGCAGACGGCACAACGTAAAGCAAAAACTGAGACTCATGTTGCTATTTTTTGCGCTCTGCAATTTTCAGTGACCCTCAATACCTTTGTAGGAGAATATGTCCGACTCCGTAAAAATACAATAGCCTTGGCGGGGACAGACTGCGCAGTTGAAACGGCTGGAGGCTCGTTAGAGTTGGGGTTTCCTTGTGAATTCGGAGGCGTGGCTGGCGCCATCTACCGTCGGCGGTTTCTCTGACGCCAGTGCGGAGAGCCGTCTATATTGTCCGGGTAAACACAGTGTCTCAGTGCGTAGATCGTTTTCTCCGTCCCCGAAACGCCCTCCGCAACCCGCTTCGATACCCAGAACTCTACACTCAAGGCTATCGGCGCACAGGCGCAGTAGCAACTTCGTTGCGGAGGGCTTAGCCGAGGGGGAAACGCGGTCTACGAAAGCTCTCAAATAACCCTCGTCCTCGGAAAGCGGACGTCGTGATGCGCATGAGTTCGTCCCGACGTGAGGTCCGCAGACCGCTAGGGGAGACTTCATTATAGGTGCAATGTTTAAAGGCGAGTGCACACACTTGCGACTCCTTAGTACCGTGCGCTTACAACCGTTTGCCCTGGAACTTCTTAAAACCTCTTACGACGAGAGACCTGTCACGTTGCAGTGCAACACTTGACGATCCCTATATTTCCTAGTTTTTCGCGCATTATTCTTTCTTTCTTGGCTTCTAAAAAATGTTTTCAATATTAGAAACGACCATTTCTCACAGGTAGTAGTAAGTACACTTGTTCTCGCAAGTACCGCAATACCTTCGCTATAGTGAAATGCAGTTCCAGGGTCACCGCATAGATGGCGCCATCTTGCCAGTGTGTTGTCTCGTTTAAGACACTCGATTCTAAGCAGACGCAAGTGTGTGAACGGGCCTTTAAGGAGCGTTCACACACTTGCGACTGCAAAAGTCAACGCGGAAGAACGAATTACTGTACTCTTGAATTTAAGGTGCAGTTTAGTAACTAATTGTTTTAACGTAACCCCAGCCATACCAGAACACAGCTTGATTTTTCTAGTTAGCTAGAAAACATTGTAAGCTTTTTCTCGCATTCCGATTTGCTTGCAATGAAACGTTACTCTCTAGTTGTTTTCTTTTCGTCTTTTTTCTTACACGTCTTGAGTTGCTTTATGTAACTGACAAACGAAGTGCAAGGTAGATTGAAAAAGCTCAATAATCCGATTTGCTCGGAAAAGCGATGCTTTTTGCTCGTGTTCAGCCTGATATGTGTATTTGTTTTTTGGTGATTCTTGAATTTATATACAAAACAATATAAAAAAGAAAAAAATCAAATGATACACAAACGGCAAATAAAAAGTAGTTTCGGAATCAAAGTAAATCTGGTCCGAATAAAATCACTATATAAATCATGACTTAAATAATCTTGATTGCTATCGTCCACCCTGGTTTAAGCTCTCTCGGAGCAAGAGTATTTGATTACATCCCACTTTCCTTTATTTGCAGTGCCCACAAACAGCTTGACGCCTTTTTAGTGGTGCACTTCCCAAGTCTTCTTAAACTAATATATATAACAAAAATACCAGCATAAAGGCAAGAAAACAAGTTAAACCTGTCGAAAATCACGCATGTCATAAAATAAAATGCCTCGGGTTGTACTCGCAGAAGTCTGTTCAGTATGGTTTTATGTCACCTGAAAGCGAGCCATGAGTGCTACGTGGGGAAATCAGGAGGATAAAACAATGAACACTGTCTAGTAGAAACTTTGCAAAACACTTAAGCAGGTGATCAGCAAGGATGAATCCATAACTCCGTTTATCGCCTCAGACACTAACATCAAATCCCGCACCGTTCTCTTGTTGTACCACGAATCTTACTTCACTACTATGCATATCCTTTTTGTATCTGAAGTAAGCATTAGGGTGAAGGCATCGACAATATAACGCGCGAATGAATTTCTTTTTTTGTAAGCGCTCAATTGCGCTGTATTAGTTGATCAAATACAATTCCAGACAGCCGAGGCGTATTCGACGCGGGAATGCACAAGTGAACAAAACAGGCATAAAGCAGGAAAGTACTTACATGCGCCTGACCCTTTCCTTTAAAACTATTACCGAAAATATCAGTGTCGCAGTAAGAGTTAATGCTGATTGTAGCACTAAAACAAAAGGCTAAAAAAAATTCGAAATAGTGGGCTATTTCGAAATAGTGGGCTAAAATCGGACAGATTTTACTGTACTTCCACAAACAACTTCACACGTCGTTAACTAAACAAAGCGTCACTACAAAATTTCAAATCGCTCACAAGCGCCACCGCTTGGCCTACATTAGTTTTTCCAATGTCTCGCCTTTTTTTCCTTCTATGAATAAACTTCGCTGTAATGCATTTTTAGAATTCTGGAACGACTGCTCTCCCGCAAAGCCCCCGGGAGAGCCAATCGCTACAATTTACGGAGAAGACACGTGAAATGATAGAACTAATATTACGACAATACAAAAAAAAGCATGTCGTTTTATTGTATTTATTGCCACAGCGCACACTGGTTTAGAGCGCAGCTCTTAGGCGGCCGTTTCTGGCTTGAGAGGCGTTGCCGTCGGCGTAACCGCGCGTTGCATTATGGGACGTTTCCCATAATCACACAACACGTGACGTCACGTGTGTCGTAAAGAGGGCAAGATTTTCCTGCTAAATTTGGCGTGAAATATTTCCGCTAAATTTAGCGGAAATATTTTTTCACAGGGTTTAGCGGAAAAGTTTCCCCGCTAAATTTAGCGGGAAAATTTTTCCCTCGGGACGTCACACGCGACGGATCCAACCTAGAAAAGCTTTAATCCTAAATATGGTGGGAAATTTTTCCGCTGAACTTAGCGGGAAAATTTATTTCTAAATTTAGCGGAAAAATTTTACCCGCGTGCCGACAAACGCGACGCCATGTCTGACGTTAAACGTGACGTCACACGTGGCCCTCTTTTCCGTACCCTCCCCTCCTCCTCCTCAAGAGCAGCGCTCTAATTTGGCATTACTGACACTTGTAAACGTCTTTCACTTTTTTGTAGGCCTAATAATTATCATCAGCCTTGATATTCGCCAAGCTTCCTCCTTAAACTGGAGCGATTGGCGCTTTCCCGAGTGCTATGAGAGATACTTTCGTTCCTCCAGAAGTCCTAGGCTGTGCTACGCACGGAATAACAAAATAAACTCCTACTTGAAAGATACGAACGGATAAAACTTGCGAACAGTTCATTTTATTATTTCAAAACGTTTATCGCGTCTTTGTGCACGTTAATTCAATACGCGTATTGTAATCGTGTTGCAATTACAGAAACCTGGAAAACGCTCAACCTGCAGCGCCCCCGTTCACGCCAAAGACAAAGGAAAAACTGGAGTCACAGCAGGGACACAGCGGGCACCTGGGGTCAGCGGCTTCCTCAGTACAATCTCTTCTTGCACTTGTGTTACTAGCTCAGATTAGTGTATCTCTATATGATCAGGAAATGTTGTGATCAACGGGGGGTTCTGATGAAGACGCCTTTGTAGTCTATTCACTTCCAGTGAACTTTTGCATTATGAAACAACGGAGAAGAAAACAAGTCCGAAGGCCGTGACGAATTGTAAATATTTATTATTTATTTATGAATTCAGGAACCTATTACTTAAAAACTAAAAAAAATGCGACATTTAGCGCCTGAATAAGAGCCTAAGTATAAGTAAAAAGGGTTATTTGAGTGTTGTTATTAGCAACTAACAGGTGGCCTAAAACAGATACGTAGTCATAGTTAAGCAACTTTAGCTACGTTCTAAATCGTTCGCTGATCTGTATGTATATGAAGGGTGTGCATACAAATTACCGACCTGCAATTTTAATGTATACGTACGTAAATCTCTACACATGGCTCCAATAAAGCTTTTCGTGTTTTTAATGTGTAAATTCTCTAGCAGTTGTTTTTTTGTGTTCCCTCTGTCGTTGTTTTCTATTGTATTTCTATGATTCATGCTCAAAGATACAAAAGGTCTGGAACTTTTCTGTCTCGTCCAAAGACAGATGCCTGTCGGCCGACCGCCCAAGTTCCACTAATACCAAAAGCGGGCTTTGCGCTAGAGGCAATGGAAGCATCGCGCCTTCTGACACGCGAAACACTCCAGGAATTCAGTTGCACGTCACTGCGAAATAAATTCTCGATTAGAAAACAACAGTAGCCATTTTCGAAGTAGTGCAACCTCTTGTTAGAAACACAATATAACAAATTTCAACCTATATTGGACAAAATTTACACTGCGCGACACAGTTGGCGGGGACACGGCACAGCCTTTCTTTCGAAACTCGATCAACTGGTTTTAACGTTCTACATCAAATTTACCGGGTATATCGACATTTCATGACGACTGTGACAGAAAAAAAAAAAAAACAAAAAAAAACGATCCTGGCAGGATTATATAAATGCGTCACGTCTTGCACCTTATACAGCTATTTCAGAAATTTTCAATTTCGCAATTTCAATTAATCAATGCTGCTTGTTGGGAGAGTTGGAACTGAAACTGGATGCATACCTGAGTTGAAGTCATGCACGATCAGCAGTAGACATAAGGATAAAACGGTACGGGATATCACAGAGCCAGACCTGATAACAAGTTACGGGGATCGGTGTGTCAGCGTGGCTTCGATTGATCTCGCGGACAAAGGCACCCAATTCTTGCAAACAGCGGGAGGGCAGGGAATATTGGTTGAGTGACGCGCTGGCGCAGAGTATTGATACTCATGTTTTTGTGCATAATAAACAGTTGAAGTTAGCGCATTGTGTTGTCCTGTTCTCCTCTCTCGTCCCTGTCTAAATGTGGTACCATGTTCAATTCATCGCTCTCATCACCAATAACAATCTCTCGCGAAAACAAAAGCCTGTATAAAAATATTCAAAATGACCACGCTCGATCCGCTCAAACAATCATGGGAATGTACCGTAGACCTCCTCGTCCTCGCTGACTCTTTTAAGGGTTCTATGTTTGGACGCCCGTCGAGACAGTCGTTAAGATCACCGACCGCTGCGATATTTCAGCGCCGCAAATTGAACTTGGCGCTTGCCAATCGCAGCGCGGCGCCGGCCGATTGCGGCGGTCGACGATCCTGGCTACTTTTTCGCCGAATGTCCAGCTTAAAGTTTCAGAACAGACTAAAAAGAGCTGCATAAAGGGAGAGAGAGAGCGAGAGACACGGTAGCACAGCTGTCAACCCCTCCTCTAGATAGCAAGGCCATTTAGTGCTGAATTTTTGTCATGACGAAGAGGAGGAGGTCACTACATGTTCGTCACCTTTCGGACGGGAGTCGTGTCCAATCAGTAAGAGTTCTAACCGAATGCTGACACAGTAGTGCGTCTAATCTGCATGCCGTGTTAGACCTTTTTAGGTGACGCCGAAAAATCTAACCTCACAACCTTGTTGCCTAAAGTCGCTGAGCCTGGTATATTAATATCGCGGTTCTTGCATCGTGGCTAGTTCTTATCCTTTATTATCTCCATCGCATCGGCTGCGGAACGATAATAAGCTGCTGGGTACTCTTTAAGCCCCGCATGTTTAAACTCTCAAACTCTCAGTGACTATATGCCTGATTCTACCGGAATTTTCCGGAATTGTTTTCGGCGCCGCGACGTTTCGCAAAGGCAAAGCCCTCAAAGGAAGCGTTTGATCATCTATTGTCCTTGGTTACCTTTTAGTGCCTCTTGGCTCTTCCCAGAGGAGTGACGTCGCGCCCTAGTGACCACCTAGAAAAGAAAAACGCCGTGCGAACGACGCGCGCGTGTCCGCCATTATTAAACCCCCCCCCCCCCGCGGGAGCACATGCAGGGCGGCAAGTTATTCTGCGTACCGTACTTCGTTTCTGAGGTTTGCTAGTTAGAAATATAGATCGGTTTTTGCGTTCACTACCACGAATAAAAGAATGACGAATGGAGCTTATGGTAGTGTCCAGTTGCCAATGGTTTTATTATAGAGCAGTATACTGCAGGAGGTCCTTGAAGTTTGTGCATATGGCTTTAGCGAGTAAATGGCAAGCAACAATTTTCGTTCCGCATTTCTGCTTAAAGCAGGCATTTTGAAAGTAAGTTTACCTGAATGGCGAGGTTTTTGTCGAGGTCGATGTATATGTCAATGTAAATCAATGTATGGGAACCTACGTCATGTGTCAGCTGCTGACGTCATGTCTCAGTTGCGGACCGAAAAATAAATATCGTCTTCGCAGTTGGCATAGATACGAAAACAACTTATTGCGCTATGAGCGTGCCAACGGCATCGCGACTACGTGGTCCTCGCCGACAGCTTCCTGAAGAAGGAAAGGGGGGCATACGCTAAGCGTACTGATTGAATTCCGCCTGAGCCCGCTCAAGGCCTTGAACAAAAAATAAAGGAAAGCACGTCAGAGACAGAAAACCCAGCCCCCGATAAGAAGTTGTATATATTACAAACGATGAACGGGAAAAAGCTAGTTGCTCACGGTTTCTTTCACAGTGCCGCGCTTGTGAGATGAGGCGTAACCACCGTTTACAAAGCTACTCTATAGTGTATGTTACCAACCATGACGAATTCGTGTCAAGCTCAACGTTCTTCGAATCTTCGAGCAGCGACAGCTGTCGTGACAGTGTGCATGCTGTGTATAGTGAGGCCTGCAAAATCTGATGCCCCGGTCGTTGCCACAGATTCCGGACTCGTGTCTGGGGTTCGAGTCACAGCCGGCGACAAGCAGGTTGAAGCGTTTCTTGGAATACCATACGCTCAAGCGCCCGTCGGGGATCTTCGCTTTAGAAAGCCTGTGCCGATAGCGCCTTGGAAAGGGACATACAATGCCTCAAGTAAGCCCAAACCTTGCTGGCAGCTGAAGCTTCGCTTCGTAGCGAATGAAACTATTGACTACTCAAACGCGTCTGAAGACTGCCTGTACTTGAACGTGTGGAGACCCTCTTGCGCGAGCACTAATTCCTGCGAGAAGAAAAAATCCGTCATCGTTTTTATTCACGGAGGAGCATTTCAATGGGGCGATTCGTCACTCTTCATTTATGATGCCGCCAACTTTGTTGCTTTGTCAGATGTCGTCTACGTTACATTCAATTACCGACTCAGCATACTCGGATTTCTGTCATCGGATACCCCAGAGCTGCCAGGAAACATGGGCCTCTGGGACCAAAACTTGGTACTGAGATGGGTCAAGAAAAACATTGGAAACTTCGGGGGTGACCCGAATGATATTACGATTGACGGCCAAAGCGCTGGAGGCATCTCGGCGGGTCTGCACGCGATTTCTCCGCACAGTCAAGGTCTGTTCAAAAGGGCAATCATGTCAAGTGGTACTCCCCTTTCCATGATTCTCGGAATTTCGTACAGCGGACTCGGAAAATTTACAGGTATTGTCACAGCTCTAGGCTGCTATGATTCTGAAAAGAATATAAAGGATCAGTTGCCAAACGTGATGGATTGCCTTAGAAAGCAAGGTGCAGATCAGATATTCAACACTCTTGAATCTGTAGACCCAGTTCAACAGATATTTTCTCCGGTGCAAGGAGACGAATTTATTCCCCGCGCCATACTATCAGAAAATACATACAAAAAGCTTCCATTTAAAGAAATTCTCCTCGGAACAAACTTGAACGAAGGAACACTTTTTTTCGATAACCTGAGATACACGTTTCCTGCGCTGCGAAACCTCTTGTCTGGTGACTATCGTTTTGCCGTGACAGTTTCCCTGGGACCCGTTTTCGATATTTCACTCTCACAAGCCAGACGCATTGTGGACTTCTACTATGGAGACTATGATGTGCACCACGATGTAAAAACCGTTGAAGCTATATTTAGCCAAATATTTGGTGATGCTATTTTTAACTGCCCTACCCAGCTCTTTGCTGACACGACATCCAAGCAAGGAATCAGCACCTATCGATACGTGTTCGCCCACAGACCGTCATACAGCTTTTGGCCAGGGTGGATGGGGGTAACTCACGGCGACGAAATAATGTTAACCGTTGGATCTCTTCCATTCATTCTTGACAAGAGCAGATATACTGAACCACTAAGTGAGTCAAGCAGGAAGTACTTGGGACGCTTGAACTACACCGAAGATGAAGAACGCTTCATGAAGGAACTGGTCAGCGCATGGACTGCCTTTGCCAAAACTGGGTAAGCTGTTTTGTATGATACCTTTGGGCTGCATGCAGAGTCCACCTTTTTTTTTTTTTTACATTCTTTTGTGAAACTAAAAGGCGATGGTCTCCATCACAAAGGATGTATGTAGCGCTGTCAAGGGCAGAAGCGTGAGGTTGTAGAATAATTGCAGTATGAAAGCAATGACTAGCGACAACGCGGCTCGAAAGTCATGAAAAATGTTATACACTAACTCCTCACACTAACATCGCGTCGCGGCGGCGGTGCTTCAGGCACACTTCCAGTCCGGGACGTGGGAAAATAAACACACCAGGCAAGCCAAGTACTGCTATGCTGCTTTGGTAGAAGCCAGTATAAACGCCCCTCCTCATCAAAACGCCGCAGGGTTAGGCGCGAGCTGCACCGTAAGAGCTGGGAAAGGTGTCAAGAGCTGTTTTACTTATAACGATAATAATCCCTGGAGAAGGGGAACATGCCGGACAACGGACAAACACATATCTCCAAACACAACTGGGTGACTGGTGCGCTACTGAAAAAATTCGCCTGGTCCTGGTATCGAACTAGGGACCTCTTCATTTCCAGTGGAGTGCTCTACCAACTGAGATGACCAGGAGTTGAACATCAGTAGAATAAACGGGTTTCAACACCTGCCACCAGTCGAACACCAACGAAGGTGAACGGTCTAAACAAAGGACAAACCGAAATTTCAGTTGGAAGAGCGCTCCACTTGAAATGGAGAGGTCCCTGGTTCGATACCAGGTCCAGGCGGATTCTTTCAGTCGCGAAGAAGCCACCTAGATTTGTTTGGAGATTTGCGTTTGTACTTTGTCCCCCTTGTTCCCCTTCTCCAGGGATGTTTATCGTTATTATTGTCTAGGTCGCTAACACCTATTGGATTCATTGTATTACCAAGATGGTTTTATGTGTATTCCGCCTTGCCTTACGTGTTTTTTGCCGTCGGACCAGGATTGCCTGTGTGTGAGGTACGTTGCTACGGGTGAATTAACAGATACCTAATATACCGATTTCACCAGCCAGCTTTACTAGGCCAGTGCAGCCGCAGTGCATCGAGGGAACTTCAGTCTTTTTGCACGTGCGAAAACCTCGCTAGAGCTCTGCGCGTGTGGAACACGAGGCGGCACGAGCCCTCGCATTCACGGCCGTCTGACTTCCGTGAACTAAAGTTATAGCGGCGTTAAGCATGCGCCGAACGCCTAGTGAGATGAATCTATAATTGTAAGGCCGCGGGTAACTGTAGTGACTTCTGTTAAGTTAGACTTCAAATTTACGCTCAAGAAAGCAACCACTTAATATATCACGTTGTTGATTAGGAGGGACCAAACATATAGTTTTTTTTTTCGAAAGTCCGGTCACCAAAAAACATGTTATGCCGGAACTGCACTGAAAATCTCAAAAAGCGTTTTATTCACGCTATTTCACTCACAGGAGTTAACTTCAACTTCTTTGAGCATAATGACCAGCTACCTTGAAGCACTTTTGCATTCGATAAATCTAAAGGTCGAAACAACGCTGGAAATCATCCGGTTTCGGGATAGAAAGCTGCGCCTAAACAACGAAAATGAGGTCTTCTCTTGTCTAAAACACTTTTTCACGGCGGGATTCCATCAGTTTCGACAATAGCCAAAAGGCATAGGACGCCAGGTCAGGGGAATTGACGGGTGAAGTCAGCAGATCGATTTCGCAACCAGCAATGACGTTTAACGTTCTGCCAGACATGTCGTAGTAGAGGATGTGACGACGCATTTCCTTCTTGGGGCGACCTCCGAGTAGTTTTTCGAAAACTTCCGGCCGGCACACTTCTGTGTACCATTTAAAGTTCGCAGCTAGTTCGCTCCTCTTCAGGGGGGACAGAGGCCACAACACCCTTGAATTTGAAGAAAATTGCAAACATTGTCCGGCCGGATGATCTGGCGGGTAGAAATTTCTTCGGTGGCGGCGGTCCTTTGATCGACCACACCATAGATTCAGACTTGGTGTCAAGGTCACTGTTGCAAAACAAGGTTTTATCACCAGTCACAATTTGCTTCCAAGCAGCATTTTTGCGTTCTTTCAACCTTTGGGGGCTCTGGCGGCAAAAGATCACGTGGGATGCCTTGTGCTCTGGAGTCCGCTGGTAAGGGACCCATTTGGCAGATTTCTTGCTGTAACCAAGGTTTTCACTCACGATTTTCCAAATTTACGTTGCATCTATACCAGGTAGTTATTTCAACTTCTCCGTGGTAACTCGACTATCTTCCTTAACCGCCGCCTTCACAACAGAGAAATGTTCATCGTGGGCTGCCGTTTTGGGGCGCCCTTCACGGCGGACGTCCCCCACAGGAAAGTCTCCACTTCGGACACGATTGAGCAACCTGCCAATCATTGAGATGGTTCGGAACTTCATCACCCATAACAGCTTTTGGCACTTTGACGCACTCTGCAGGCTTTGCAGCATACAGGAATTCGTAAAGATGAACGGCCGCACGTGCTCCTTTTTGAATACCGGATATTTCATCCCGCCACAAAGACTCACATTTTTATTTCTCATTTTCATAGCTTCCTGTTGTAGAAAAAAAAAGCTTAAATTAGTTTAAAAAGATAAACGAAAAGCCTGATATCACATATTTTTTACCGAAATTTGTCAACAAAATATAAAATGAAGGTTTTTCCAGAGAATACCACTGACCGGTTTTAGTTTCGCAAATATTTTTAGTTGCTACTGACAAGTGCTATTTCAATAGCAAAGGTGAGTACACACTCACCTTTCCAGTTGAAGCCCAAGATATCGCGCGTGATGAGGTGTGTAACTCGTGAAACACGTGGTCCTATTATAAAACAGCCGGGGTAGCATAGCGATAGCCACCAGATGCGTTGTATGTCTTAGGATGACAAAACTAGTCGATAACGGTGGGCCTAATTAAGGTTACGTACCGATTTGGATTAGTATGTGCGTTAACAAACAACTCCTAATTATGTCAGGAGCCATGGTAAGAAGTCAAATGGCGTGAATATTCCTCCGCAATGTAAAACGCGCCTGTGCTCGAGAACGCGTAAATGTCGTCGCAATGTCATCGTATTATGTGTAACGGCAGGTGGCTTGACATAACTCATTTGAATAGGCTGTACCCAAGAAACACTTGAAACAATATACTTATATGGGTCAGTTGGTACATGCCTACGGTGGAAAAGCGCCGAAAAATACATGGACAGACAGAAAAACAAGAGAGCTAGGCACCACTCGAACCACTAGTGCACAATGTGGATACCAGAAAGTAGCTCTAATGCGGGTATAACACCACTGCCTTAACTTCCCAACAAAGCACGAGTATAACCAGTGACTGCGATGTAAAGAAAGAGCTAAGAAGAAGTGGAGATAAAAAAAAAAGACCCGAGCCAAAAATGCGATCATCGCAGGGAAACCAATAATGAGAGATCGTTTGCACAGAAACTCAGCGAAGCCCACGTTTTTTACTCTAAACACTTTCTAAGCACCATCCCTCAATCGGTCTGCAGCCCGCAAGCAAGAAAGGAAAAATAAGCACGGAGAAACGATTTGTGGAGTGTTTCATTGCGTACAGAAGATACTATCAATGGTATTTGAGCTCACCGTTTTTTTCACTTACCAAATTTTCTACAGGAAACCCGTGATACCTGCTCCTGGCGTTGACTGGCCGTTGCATACGGTGGACAACCCGAGGTTACTGCTCATGCAGCCCAATAACTATACGATCGCACCTGACCAGCTGCGAGAAGCGTGCAAATTGTGGATGCCACTGCTCTTCCGGAAGTATGTATAATAAAAAAAGCTATTCTTTTAGGAAAAATCTCTAAGGCCGATAGACATCTCCTGATAGGACATACTTTTTTAGGAAGGGAGTGTGTAATGGGTGATAGGTAGTGAAACTTCAGAATACAAGGGGGAAATACATAAAACAGAAAGGTTGTACAGAAAGGGGTGATGTAAGCCTACAGAGAACGTTGGTTTCCCGTTATCAAAATATCAGCAGTATTCCTTGGCACAAAGAAAGTGCACAGCCGCAGTCATCACCTGTTTGTTGCTCTCTGTTTCTGTATTCATGCAAGACAACCCTTGCAGAATCATGAACATAGTAGAAAAGCTATACAATAAGCGGGAAGCTATGTAGTACAAGAGAAGCAAAATATATTTCGAAGGCAAGCCCGGCAACTTCCGGATATTCTTTATTCTCATTCCTGATTCTTTATTTTTTATACTTTATACTCTTTATTCATCATGGACCTGCATCTCCATCAAGCATTATCGCCGGGGTCAAATCAACTTGAATAAAAATTTCTGAATTTTTGGGACGCACAATCGCACTCGGCAAGGCATTCCACTCATTAATAGTTTAACAATAAAGAGTTTTGCCTACATCAGCCCTAGTGCGGAGTTCTCTTTTCTCATGAATGTAGTGTTTTCTTTTCAAGATATGATTTAGATGTAATAAGTAAGATATTATATTAATGTCATTAATGTTATGATACATAATGTATGAAAACTTCAAGCACAAATTTCTTCGTCTTAATCTCAATGTAGACCTTCTTAATTCTTTAATCATGTCTGTTACACTCGCAAAACGTTCACGCCGCACCAAAGCGAAACGAGCAGCACGATGCTGAATACGGCCTTGTGTAACAATGTGGTTTTGCTGAGAAGGATACCAGACGGCGCAGGGCTTGCTTTAATACTGATCGTACATACGACAGAAAGGCGAGCTCTTCGATCGCTTTAATCGATTTCTTTAAATTTCGGTTTGAAAAGACAAGCGCTCTGCTGGCCCTCATGATATCGTCAATATGTGCATTCCAAGGACAGACCGCTAAAAGCGTGACGCTTAGGATATTTAACTGTTTGATTCATTGGCACGATTTCTTTATTTAGTTGATAACATATCTCAACTTTCGTTTTAGTTTTACAAGTAAAAATATAATGGACACATTTTTTCTTGCATTTAACTCCGCCTTCAACTTTTTTCACAATTGTTCTATTCGGTTCAGGTGACCCTGCAGCTGTCTGAAACTCTACTCACCTGTTATACCCATGCAAATAATACAATCAACCGCAAACAAACCTACATGCGAATTTACACCGTCATTTTTGTCATCAACAAATATTAAAAATAACAAGTTAAAATAACACATTGATAACGTGATTATAGATACGCTTGTATCCACTTAACAATACTCATGTAACTTTTCGGCGCGCTAGTCTGTGTAATAATAGTGCGTGTGATACCGTATCGACCGTTTTTTTATATAGTCTTAGAAAACACTATTAATCTGTCCGCCTTTGCCAAGACCCGTGATCAAATCATTTCATAGCTCAGTCAGTTGTGTAGTACATGATAGCCCTTTTCGAAATCCATGTTGTGATTCAAAGAAAAAATTTGTGATAGTTAAATTCTTTATGATGTGACAATATAAAAGATGTTTCAGTAGTTCACAACATACGTTAATGAAATCGGTCTGCAGTTAGTAACCTACTTATTTTTGGCCTTTTCTTGTGGACCGGCACCACGTGTGCAACTCTCCAGTCGTCTGCAAATAGGCCATCGCTCAACGATTTCTTATATACTACAAAAAGATATGAGGCAATCGCATCTGCACAACGTTTCGAAATTCTCGGTGAGATCACATCAGGGCCTGCTGTTTTAGATTCGTCTGTACATTTCAGAAGTCGCGTTACGAGGATAATCCCTCTTTTCATCAAGACGAAATTCTGAAAAATGACCTCGCTCTCATTAACCGTACCAAGTTCGAGTGCAGGAAAGATTAGCATCAAATATTTTCCCTTTAGACCTAGTGACGTTTTGCTCCCATTGCTCCGTCACCGCAGCCTTTATTGTTCTGTTTATGGACTAGGAAATCGAATATGGTAAAGTGTGTTTAATCCTCCATCTGGACCGTCGACGAAATTACCGGCGATAGTATTTTTTTTTCGGTTTCACGTAGTGAATAATGACGGTTCTACGATCTGTTGCAGACAGCTGCTTAATAGGCTTACCAATAATTGAAATATACTGGGTCTCAGTGCTTTTCCATAATTTCCACTTTTTATGTAAAAGAAAAAAAAACGCTAAAAACGAATTTCTCAAAAATAATATTTTTTCCGAGCCCTCCCATTAATAGTTGTAGGAGCGCTATCTAACGAAAACGAGTGGCTTAGAATGTATTCTTTCTAGTAAAGTATTTGATTACTTTACAGCACCTTCTACGACCAATGGTTACTCAGCCGCTTAGAAACTTGCGATACGCATGGAATAAAAAAAAAAAAAATGTCCCCAGCGAAAGATACAGGCAGACAACTCTTGCAAACTGTCCTTTGTATTATAACACCCCCCCCCCCCCCCCCCACACACACACACATAAACACGCATTTATCAGTTTTGTGCGCGTTAATTCAATATGCATAATCTTATCGTCTTGCATTTACAGAATATCAGAAAATGTTCAACATGCGGTCCCCCCCTCCTCACCAAAGACACAAGAAAGTCCGAAGTCGAAGCAGGTTCCCAGCAGTCACCTGGAATCAGCGGCCTCCTCTGTACACTCTCTTCACGCGCTTGTATTGCTAACTCAGTTCACTGTCTCTGTCGTTCGAAAATTCTATGGTTAACAGGGTGCTGACAAGGACACCTTAGGAGTCTATGTATTTCGAGTGCATTTTTTGGTTGTTGTTGTTGCGAATTCAACGTTGACAAATACCGAACCCTAACGCATACACAAACGACAAATATTTATAATTTATTTATGTATTAACTGAAACCGTTACTTAACCAGGGTGTCGAACCGAATCCGAGCCCCAAAACAAAACCCGGATAAAAATCCTTATTTTTGCCTAAACCGGAACGAATTCAAAGCCGTACTCTAACATTCCATTTTATTTTAACCAGAACCGGAACGAAACCACTATCTTATATGGCGGTTACCGGCTCATTGGAAACGGTTCGGCGTAATACAATTTGAGCTGCAACTGCTTTTGGCAGGGCGCGGCGGGTGGCGCAGTGTTGCCCCAATAGACGGCAGCAACCTGAAGAGAATTTATGAATAATTAAATAAATAAATGCACGTAACGTCTTTGTGCAGCACGACTTGGCGCTAGCGAGCCGGGTCTGAGACGTACGTCTTCTAGCTGACTGCCAATGAATTATAAAGCTATTCTTTGTTTAGTTTGTTGCTGCCGCAAAGAAATGTGAATAGAAACGACATAAACACCAAAATAAAATTTATAAATCGATGGACTGTTTTCGTGTGCTTGTTCCGCGCTGTCTATATTGAAAGCGACGCCGAGAAGAAACGAACGACACGTCACAGGGGCGCCGGGACGCCGATCGCCCGACATATTCCCATTTTTCCTTACGATGGACTGCAAAGGTTCTGCGAGCCATTGACACCAATCCAACTCCGCGTGAGTACTGTAAGGAGCCGCATTGCGGGTGTGCGGCCCGACGGCGGCCCGATGGCGGCGCGGGATGGACCTTCAGAACAGATCTCGGAGTGTTGAAGTGGCGAAATGTGTCGTCACGGGGGAACGGTGGGGACGCCATTAGGGCGAGAGGGAGCGTGACCGCGGCAGGCGAGGGGAAAAGGGAGGACGAGCGGGTGGCACAGGGGAAGAGCCAGATTGCCCCGACGACGAACGGAGGAGCCACCCAAAGAGGCTGCCTGCATTGGACGGCCGTTGCCCAAGAACGCGACCAGCGAGCTGCCCGACATGCTGCCGCCAGCCCGTAACCTGCCCGAGAGCTGCCAGCCCTTGACCTGTTCATGACTGACGAAGGAATCCTCTCGAGCCAGCGCCGAGCTACCGGCCTGCGGACCACGAGGAGCCAACGAGCCACCCGAGAACGACGCAGCCCGTCGACCTGTTGAACAGCCCATCAGTAAGCGACCCGACGACGGCGACCATTCCAGCCAGTAGTATTAAAATGTTAAAAGTATTTGCCTGTCTCCTGCTTGCTCTCCACCGAGGGAGGATCCCCGTTAACTGAGTTTAGGATGGAAACTTTCCAGTACCATGGCACCCACGCGACTTTGGTGCACGTAGTCAGCGTTCACAGCGCTGAACGAGTTGGGGTGGCTCGTGGCGTCCCTTGCGGTCCCGTATAAGTTGAGACGGAGTGTAGCTGGACCGGCGCCGACTGGAGGGAAGTTTCGTTTTAACACAGAATCTGTTTTATCAGCCGATTTCTATGGAATTCTTTAGCGTGTTACTGCAACATTTGACTGTAACGGGCCGCCTGTAACAGCCGGCTGTAACGACACCGAAAAGCGTTACGTCCATAGGCAACCATATAGAACAACTTGAATCTTCCAAAGTATCTGCCACCACCTTGAGATTGTGAGCCACTTGCTTTGCCGACTAAACTCTGTCGGGTCGGTGTTTGCTGGCACGCAAAAGCAAGTTCCATGGCACGAAAGCGCGGTCGTACGCTTCGCAACCTTTCCTGTCAGGCTGCGCCATCTCGCGGTGTGTCAGAAGAGGGGGCGATTCTTCAGTAGTTGGTGCCGTTCAGGTGCCAGTCTCTTATTCCGTAGAATGCATATCACAGATTATTTGCTTACCAGTCATTGTCGGCATGATTAAACTTGTTCTTGTACGTTAATGACCTTTCTCTTTCTCTATTTTATTTTTTAAAATCATCTTTCGACTGCTTTTTGCGGTCCTTGTCGTCTACAACCCAGCAACTCAGTCGTTTGAAAATGAAAGTTCGAAAGTAAGGTGAGCGCTAGCTCATTGACCTCGCATGTGAGTACTGTACGATTCTACTTCGGTTCTATTTCCGAGTATATCTATGAAAGCCTATATTGCATAGGGTTGTGTTTGAGATGAAGCGTTAAGATAACCGAACAATATTAAGCACATATTTATTCTGTTTTCCTCTTTCTCACAACACGACTTCCGATGACTAGATTTTTTTTTTGTACTTTTAATGCAGAGGTTTCCGAGAGGCACGCGCTTTGTTTTCTTAATAACTGGAAGTTATAAACTTTAACTTTTAACACACAATGTATTTAGGGGCTGGATTCCATGGAAAAGTGTGACGAAAAAGCGTCACACGCAGGTCAAAAACGTTACATTTGAAAGAATATGTAAGTTTGTTATTTTACACTACTCTCTTTACGTATAGAGGTGCATAATGCTAGTGGATATTTTCCAAATGAGCCGGAAAAGCTGACGCCTGCCGGAAGGGACCTGATATGTTTCTTCAAACGTATATTTTAATGGTTAGTTATATTTTGAAATTTCAGGAAGTTGTTTCATTTCTAAAAATGAAAATGTAAGGTTAAAAAAAAAAATCTCAGATACTAAAAGTTATATGCAAATATGTTATCTTGATTCAGGCACACACAAAAGATTGCTCGAGTCCTCTCTCAGTAAGATTTTGGTTGTTCAATATTGCTTGCCATGATGCAAACATTCCCATTTAAACTCTAAACCGATTGTTTTAAAACATTTTGATGATACTTTTCTGTCATTCGCAGGGACCAAATTTGTCCTTACAGCCTTCATCTTGAAAACAAAGTATGTTCGCGGATATATGCGTGCTGTAGCCAACACTTCGATCAAGGCTGCCGCAAGATTGCGTAGATTTGAAACTTTTAAATCAGGAGGCCACCTAAAAACCTAACGAAGTCGTTCGCTACAAATGCCATCTTCAGCTTACTGCTTGTTTGGCAATCAGCTGATCAGCGAATTCTATCTGGAAAATTTCGTGAACTTGTCCTTAGTTAATGCGATCGATTATATCGGGTTTGCAACCAAACACACCTCTGGTTGTAACCTGTACATGATTGACACGATTGTTTATTTTTCTTTCCTCTCAAAAAGGGAACTTGGAAACGGGGAGGGGAAGTGAGCTAGGGGACGACACGAGCGAGAGAGGAGGCATAATAAGAACCCAACCTTTTTAGTTCAACGAATTCCGAAACTATAGGGACGTAACCTCTAGTCACCAGACTCCTTGGCGCCTTCACTGCCTTCACCGCCGACGCTTCGGTTTTGAAGGAATCGCCGTTGTGACCGCGCGCGGCTGCCGCGCATTATTTCGTTTCGGAACTCGTCGCTGCTGTTTCATCTGGATTACTCTAAGACGCCAAAACTTCACAAGGTATGCTTGACGCTTGGCTGGTGAGAATGATGTTATACTCGACGCAGAATTGAATCTGCATCACGGCTTCACGCTTCGCGTTTATTCAGGTCGCCATGGCGGCTTTGACGGAGAGAGACGTATTTGGGTTCGTAAGAGACGGTGCAAAGAAGAAGGCTGCGAGTGTTCTGGCTACCTTGTAGAATCCGCCTCCCTCACTACCAGTGCCCCGCAGCTGAAATGCGGGTATTGTCAGCACACACCTTCAACGCACGGGCACCTGGGGATTTTCGGTAAGTAGATGGTCTCCTTACAAACGCGATTGGCAAGGCTATATTTGAAGTGTGTGTCGATCGCGATTCCCAACCGCAGGAACATACGCGCATATGTCACAAATTTAGCCTTTTGTTTGACTAGAGCGCGAAACCTTCTGTTGGCGGTTGGCTCTCTTTGCTATGCTTCCTTCGATTGCGTAAGCTCTTATTTACCAGGGGTCCATATCATATGAGCGAATGACGTTTCAGCGAATAGGAATCATTTGAGCGAATAGACGTTTTCGCGAATGACGGTTAGCGATTAGGCTATTTGTAGGTGGCGGCACGCTGTAGGGACGTTTCGTCGCGCGTGTATCGTTGGGTAGCACGTTAACCCATGCGAAAAACCCGTTTACGCCCCTTTGAAACAACACACATAAGGCGTCTTAAAAAAAAAAATATTGAGTTGTTGATGCAACCGCTTACTCCTGTTCGTAAACGGCGGCACGTTTCGTCCCGCGTCTATCACTGGGCGCGCATTATCTATTAACCACTCGTCCGCGCCGCTTCGTGGCGGCAGACAAGGCGGTACACAAGCTAATCCGAGCTGTCGATTATTGTAAGTAGATCTGTTCGCTAATATGGACGCCATATCATTCGCTGAAGCGTCATACGATGAAACGTCGTGGTTTTGTTTTCATTCGCCAAAACGTCGTTCGATCAAGTGAGTGCCTCCCGGGTTTTACAAAGCTAAACTTAAGGGAACGCTTTAAATGTTCCGTCTTTAAAAGTAGTGAAGTTACGCTGTGTACTTTATGTGCACCTGTCGTAGTTCATGGGACTACAGTTTAATTTTTACATTTTCCAGAGAAGACAAATTAAACCAAAAGCATGTTGCATAAAGGGGCGAATATATTCCGTCGTATCTTAATCAAAACTAAGACCAATGTGCACAGAACGTCTTAATTTGGCAAAATAGTGAGATTGAAACATTTATTACATAAAGTAAGACAATGTCCCCTTGCATTACTTTTAGCGTGAGACAGAATACACATACATGTTGTCAGACCAATATTGATAAACGTTCAGCACACCAACGATATGAAAAATCCCCTAAGCTCGGTGAGTTAATTTCTTTTTTGTCTGTTCACACCGCAAGCAGAGGTGCCAGACAAACCCACTTTGTCTGTCCCTCACATATACGGAGCAGCTGAGAAGATTGTGATTTACGGCAGAAAACCTGGAGAACTTGTTCCACTGAGTGATCCGTGC